GTCAAAACTACCTTGCAATAGGGTTATAATGAGCCAAATTGATCGGATCCTATTTCGTAGCCGCACCTGTAGTAGACAAGCCCCAGCCGCCTGTCATACGGGACCGATGGTAATAGGGGGTTTAACGTTAACCTCTAACCCTAGCCCCTATATCTGACCCCTAACTCAAACGCTAGCTCCTAACACTAACCCCTAACAGGTGCGGCTACAAAATAGGATCTTACCGCCAAATTTTCAGACGGCATAACCTCCTGCAGTACTCCAGGTGGTTGCTCTAAATCCACCTGTATCAAAATTTCTCAAAACACAGCTGTCGAATTCTTGGTAAATTGAGTCACGCGCATATGCCAAAACAGATTTCGGTGTGCATACGGTACTATCCATAGAATAAGGTGATAATAAAAAGCGTACAAACCTCAACAATGAATACCCTAGACAAAGAATCCCTTGGTTACTGTTCGAGCAAATCGAATTCCCAGATCAAGGTCGGAGCACAAAAAGTACTTAATTAAAAGACCGCCGATCATGTTCAAAAGAGGGTCATAAAAAGGGGAAAGGGAATGTCATCAGGGTCCAAATGTGGAAGCACTTGCGAGGAGGGCGTGAAGAATTCCAAGCGTTGACCAGTTGGATACAACAACAGCATTAAAATAAACGTCGGCTACGTCCGACATAATCAAAATCGCACTGAGTAGGTAGCCACGAACTGCAGGGTGTAGGCTGTGTAGGTAGAACGGACGTTCTTTGCATCGTCACCACCAGCATGCGCTTGAAGTTTTTTTTGTTTTCGGACCCAGCCGGAAGCTTTTTAGTTCCCACACCGCCTGCGCTACTGTCCACATGCATCTCATTGATATATTTGTTGACGGTGGGTTTTTTTTTCATGCGGGCTGGAGGGGGCTACTTTTTCCATCCCAGGCCTGAAACTCAGTATTCTCGTTATTCTCGCTGCGGCGTGAGTCGCTTCAAACGTTGCAACCCCCTTTGCCACTTTCCACTCTCCCCTTCCCCCCCCCCCCCCCCCCCCCCCCCCCCCCCCCCC